ATAAAATGTCTATTCAGTATTAAATCACATCTTAAAACTGTGCCATTATAAGGACACTTGAAGCTTTTTTTTAACCTCTGGAGTAGCAACATGTGGAATGCCCTGCTTCAGTACATGCAGTAAATATTAATGGGATGCCAACTGTGTGTACCCGAGTCTGAGCAGAATAAGTCTTCTCACTTCACACCTTCTATAAAACTCAAGATTCCTTTGGCAAGTACCATACACTGTAGTAACACAACATTGACCTCTGTGCAAGAGGTTCACATTATAAGGATATCATGGGAAGCATAAAACATTCAGTATCAGAGTCTCTGAGCTATTAAAACTACTTAAATATGGCATCAGTTCTTAAAGTTACCTAATTTAAAAGTAGCTGAACCTTTGAAAATTATTGAGTCCATTAAAAACTACATTAAGTTAGAGCACTATGCTCAAGGACTGCTGTGGTTCAGGTTATGTCACGGCTTCATTACAATCGCCTTCCTTATGAATTTCAGAAGAATTCACTAGAAGTTGAAAATTATCATAAATCTCAGTTGCTAGAATCTATTTGCTTTACAACCTAACTTGCTCCCCACTAGGCCCTCTATTTAAGTAAACTTAAAAAATATATATATTCAAGAGCAGAGTAGACTGCCCAGACTCAAACGCCAGTTCTGCCATACAGTAGCTGCGGAGCTTGAGTCATTTATTTAGGTTTATAAACTCTCACCTTCCTCATCTCCTAAATGGCAGTAAAAATGATAACATCAAAGAAAAATAAAATAATAATAGTAGCTGTACCTACTTATTTTCCCTCTGTAAAATGGGAAATGACAGGAGAGCTACCAGAATTAAATGAGTTAATATGAGTAGAGCTCTTTGGACATTGTCAGGCACACACTAAAATTTATTACAAGTGTTTCTTAAATAAATTGTTCAAAGAATGTATCATACCCCATATTTTCAATATCAAACTAATAGAGCATTTATGAGTATCATTCTCAAAGTGATGCCGACTTCACAAACCACATATGGAACAAAGGGATTCTATTCCTATTGTACAAGGTTATTAAAAAACAGATATCTACATTAACAGAAACATAACTATATACTATATATGTATACGTGTATATGTGTATGTGTGTGTATATATACACATATGTATATATGTATACATACACATTTGTGTATATACACATAAAATTTACCTTCCCCATGCAGAGTCAATTAGGTAAAGTGGTCTAAAGTCAAAGAAACTCTTCAACTATTTCTTAATATGGACACAGCTTTCCCTCATAAAACTTCAAGAAGAAGAAAAACAGTCTATTGTACCAATGTTAATTAATAGTAAGACACTCTAATGGAACTTCCATATGAGATTTAGAGAGGTTCATTTATCCTATGTACATTATATGAATTTTCAGATATAATCTTTTACTCTCCTTTTGATAAGGGTTAGCTACTCTGAAATGTTTTTTACTTAGATTGGTGATTTCTAAATGAAGTTATTAATATCTTGCTTTAATTGCACTTGTGCTTAAAGGTTAAGATAACATTACAACTCAGAAACAAACATTGATTCCAGAGGAAGCAAAAATTGTCAATAATTAAATTAGATACCAGAAAATATATACCAGGTTACATTTTTGCTAACTTGAAACAATATTGAATTCACAGAAAACCTAAAATACAGGATTTTTCTAAATGGTAACAGTTTAATTTACAATGAAAAGTTTAGGTACTTCTGTTTTTAGCTCCCCTCACCAAAAAAATGGAAAGGACTTAAATGATTTTAAATCTATGGTTTAAACAATTTCCTTAATTTGACTTGTTCTCTCTTTCAAGCTATTCAGCTGTACTTAAAATAAACTACTATTCCATTACCAAATAATAATTCTTCACTTAATTGCAATAATCTCAGAATATGAAAATATTGGGATAAAGTATTGAGAAATTCAAAAAATTCATCCATATAAAAACCAATGAAATATAGAAATATTCACATAATTTCAATGACACAACTCTAGTGTTACTGTTCATACTCTATTCTCAAATTGGAATCATTTATAGTAAGCATTCTCTCCTCCACTAGCCTCTTCTACTAGGAAGTTACCTTGAGAATAATTTTATTCATGAATGAGGGAGCCTACAATAAATAGACCATCCTTCTAGACATGTCAAGAGCATCAAACAAAATTCACTTCAACTAAAATTTCCATAAGACATTTCCCCTTTTCTAAAAAATCCTAAATAACTACTTTTGTTAAGTTGTTCATTTATATATAATTGCTTTTTTAAAAAAATGTTACTGTTTCTGAGATTATAAAAATAAAGAGACGGTAAGTTTTAGGAGCAAAATATTTCTTGAGTTCTATGAATGCGAATTCACTTTTTCAGTGCAACAAGAACATTTGCATTTACTCATAAATGAATACTAATGACAAATTCAGAGCTGGCATTACTCCATAGAAATCACACACAGAAAGCCAGAGCTAGAAATCATACAGTGCACAGATAGTTATATTACTCTAAAGTATTCAGACAAAGAGCAAGGAGATTAGAGTCAACATCAATTCTCTGAAGTTGAGTCACATCTTAATGACATGGTGGGTTAAGGATAATTGTAGAATTTAGGATGGAAACAAAGTTGGCTAGTTAATATCTTATGTGATTTCTGAGTCAACAGCTCTTTGTTGACCACCTACTCTGGGCAAGATGCTGCTTCCCTAAGTAAGCCACTGCTCTACAGTTCTATTTACACTGTGTAGGAGTAAGCATCCTGCTTCTACCAGAAATCCTCTCTTTTTGTTTAAAATAACACCCCAGCTCAGCTTTGCATATTGTGTGTGTTCATGTGCTCAATAAATACTTTTTGAATGAGTGAAAATTCAGTGAGTAAGAAGGTTATTCATTCAAAAACATCTGCGTATGCCGGCAAAAATGGTGAGGACAATGATAAAAGCAAAATGAAAACACTGGGCAACACCTCCTCACAAAGGTGTCAAAGGGAGCAACTTCAAATATTAAAATTTAAGCATGAGCTCTGGCTTAACCTAGAAACCAGGATCGCAGTACTTGCTGTAATACTCCATGAATATTGTGCTCATAATTTCCCATGTAATCTGCTTATGTACCTATTTGAAAATATTTTTCTCAAGTAATGTTGTTTCTATAATTTCTATATGTTTTGTTAATTGAGAGAAGAGTGTTTCTAAAAGGCCAGAGTAGCTTGGGAGAGGTCAAAGCAGTTTTCTTTTTCACTGTGAAAACACTGGAGGTGGTTACATTTAAGCAACAGTTTCCTTCCTATTGCTGTGTGTCTTGTAATATCTTCTTGTATCTCCATCAGTTCACTGGTGAATAACTTCATATTTCTGAAGTTAAGAAGCCTGCCCTGATGCTCATTCAGTTACTTTGAGCAGTGACCAAACAGAGAGAGGAAGGTAAGTAGCATTGTTTCCATTTCTTTAAAAACGTCACTAGGAGGAAACCCCAAGGTAACGATGACAACAACAAAAATCTGTTTCAACATAATTGACAGCAATAAAACCTTTTTTAAAAAAATAATCATTTTTGATATTCAAATTTGTAATCCCCTTTTATTGTCTTCAACTTTTTCTTTGAAAAGAAGCTTAATATATTTGAAATAAATTATAATGTGTAATTTGTCTAAAGCTCTGAAATATGTAGAAACTACTAAGTAAAACCTTTGAGAAGCACTAGCTGTTTATTACTTCTAGCAAATCAGTTTAGGAAGGAGCACTAGCACAGAAAGGAGGCCCACCCACCCACTTTCGCTCCCACTCAAACCGACCCTGCATGCTATTTATCAGGCCAAGTTTACATAAATCAGAGAAGAGTTACGGTGCAAGTAAATGTATCCACGGAGTAATATGACATAAAGCACTTTGCAAATATTAAATCTTTCCCCAATGTTTTCTAAGAAGAAACTGGTATTCGGAGACAGAAAGGAGAGGGGGAAAGAGGGGAGGGAGGGAGGGAGGAACAGAGAGAGACAGAGAGAGAGAGAGAGAGAGAGAGAGAGAGAGAGAGAACCACCGGGTGAAGTACAGGTTAGACCAGGGATCTGAGCATCAGCTCCTTTGGGTGGGTGCCCTGAAGCACTGGAGTAGGGAAGCGGGAGAGCAGAGGAAACCCACCAAGGTGGAGTGACTCCGGAGTTGTGGTAGAGGTTTGTTTGCTGTGCACTTGGAATCTCCAGGTAAAGATATCTGCCTTAAGCTGGACGCTCCTTGCAGGTTGCCCTAAACCAAGGTGGTCGCCCAAGTAACAGGAGCAGGATTCTCAGCGCTCCAGTGAGTAGCGACAGCGACCTCTCAGACTTGTTAGTAGTAACAGTATGACCACCCCTCGACTGCATCCATTCCGTGTGTGTGTGTGTGTGTGTGTGTGTGTGTGTGTGTGTGTTGTTGGGTGGGAAGAGATGCATAAAGTGGGGCTGTGAGGGGTGTGGGAGCGGCCAGCTGGGAAGAGAAGACACCCCACCCACATGTTAACTTAGCCTTTGCCTGCTCTTTGACTGCCCTCTGTCTGTCCTCTGCTCGGGCCTCGCAGGCCCCCACTGTCCCAAAGCTGCCCTCGAGCTCCAAACAGCTCCACAGCCACCCCAGAAGTGACCGAACACGAACCCCCAAACTCTGGCGAGCGCAGTAAAAGCGTGTTCCCTTTCTCCCTCAAAGAGAGCGCTACCCAGCGCTCTGGGAGAGACTGAGAGAGAAACAAACAGGCGGGCTGACTGACACCTTCTGTCTAATTTTACCCCAGGAATTGCCCCCGCCTTTTCTCATCTCGCACTAGTTTAACCTCTGGTCCTAAGCAAACCTCTCAAAAGTCTTCCCCAGGCAGCGCCCAGAAGAACCGCACCCCACAAAGTGCTTTTTTGCTGGCATCACCCGGATGCCTCCCTTTGGCGATTTGCCCCTTCTCATTTCCCCCCAAATCTAGAGGTCTCAAAGCCCCTCCCCCGCGCGAGGTGGGCCGCGCGCCTTGCTCACCGTGGTCCCCGGCGGTGGCGGCGCGGGCAGGAGCCCCAGGGCGCGGGGGCCGGCGGCGGGTCGCGTGGGGGCACCGGGTCGCTCGTGCGGTCCAGGCGGCAGTTGGTCCAGTAGTTTCGGATGCCCAGGCTAGGCTCGGCAGAGAGCGAATCGGCGTGAATGGGAGCAAACGAACAGGGCTGCGCGTGGCGCGTGTGAGTAAGAGGCGAGCGGGCCCCACACGCAGGCGGCGGCGGCGGCTGCGAGGTCCGGGGCGGTGAGCCGGGCGGGGGAGGGGCAGGCGGGCGAGAAGTAGTGGAGTTTAGGGCGCGTTTCCCGCACTTCCCCGAGAGGCTGGAACCAGGTGCGGCAGGGCGCGCTCCCGTGGCGCGGGCACGGCACTGGCGGCCGCAGGAGCCGGAGTCCGCGCAGTGCCGGAGACCGCAGCCGCTCTGCGGGAAGAGGTGCGCATCCTCCTTGCCCCACGAGGGCAGCGGCGCAGCCCCGGCCCCTGAGCGCAGAAGGCGAGACTTCGGGCGTCCTCGGTGACAGCTCCTCGGGTAGCCCGCTCCTTCCCAATCCGCCCAAAAGAGCAACAGTCCGTGTGGCTGGGATCTTCCCTTCCTGCGTCCTCGAGCCTCCGGTGCCAAGCTGTGAGGGCGCCCCGCTCCCCGCGGCTGGCGCTGTCACGGCCGCCGCCCGGCCCCCAGCGCGCCCGAGCCGGCAGCTGCCTCCCGGAGACGTGCCCAGCTGTGTGCGCGTGTGTGTGTCTAAGCGAATCTCTTCCCCTCCATCACTTGGGCGCGCAGGAGGGACCGGGTCCCCGGCGACCAGCTGCAGAGTGGCTGCCGGTCCACACCCTCCCGGCTCTCTCCCCACCCACCCCGCCCCTACTCCTCGCCTTCCCCTCCTCCCCCTGCTCCTCCTCCAGCTGCCGCTCCCGAGCTCCCGAAGGCAGCGGAGAAACCGCAGCGAAAGGGAGGAGGAGGAGGAGAGTGGGGAAGGAAGCGCAGGTGTCTTTGGCGGAGAGATGGGCGCACGCACCGGAGCGGCTTGCTGCAGGGGGAGGGCAGGGCCTTAGGCGGAGAAAGGGGAGGAGGAGGATTTATCCGGAGGCGGAGGTCCTGCTGCTGAGCCACTGCACGTCCCACCCAGGACCTGGAACCGCGGGCGAACAGCGCAGTGGGGCGGCCGAGTGGGCGCGCGGGGCTCCCAGTTGGACTGAGGTCGCAGCTTGGGGAACCTGCGGAAATGACCAGGGTGGCAGAACTCGGGGACACAGAGGTCGGAGGGACCCAATCGCTGAGGCGCTGAGACCGGTCTCTCTGTGGTGGGGGGTAGGGGGCTAAACCCAGAGCTTGGGGCACACAGGTGTCCAGGAAGCTGGTGTGTGTGGCTCCAGAGTGCCAGGCGGGAGAGCCGGAGGCAGTGAGGGGGTCGGGCGGCGGCTGCGGCTTGCTTGGGGCTGCTGTGTGCATCCAGAGTCACAGGGGGCGATCACCGCCTAGCTGGGAAGCGGAGCTCAGTACTCAGCCTTCTTTCAGGTCCCAAGTCCAGAAACCAAGACGCAAACTAGCCTTCCCAATTTAGTCTGTGTTCCCCCAAGCCTTTGCCCCCAGCAAAACAACAGGCCAGGAGCTGATTCCACCTGCTACTTACTGTGCTCTTTACCGTATTGAAAGTACCCTATTGCTCCAAGGAGACTGATGTGTTGCTTCCTCTCTCTCAATTCTAGTCCCCTCCCTCAACATATATCCCTACCCAACCAAAATTACCCAGAACACTGTATTTCTCATTGATAAACTTTTTCCCTCTGGGGTTCCCTAAAAAATGAAAATGTTTCCTCCCCTTTTCTCTGTAGAGGCATTAAGTCTCTTGCTTACATTCCATAGCACAAATACAGTACACAGGAAAGCCCTTTAGGCAAGAAATCACAGCGTTGTTGCTTATGACGGCTTGTCTGTTTTCAAATGACAGTCGCAGAATGCAAATTTGTGTCAACCTGAGGTCAGTGGAGAGTTAGTCCATTTAATTAGAGGTCTTTGGAAGGAATCCGGGCAACAACACTAGAAAGAATTGCTGTACTTTCTCCAGTACCCATTCCTTTTTATTATGGTAATTTCACTCTGTTAATTTAGGCAATCTGAAAATGAAAGGTCGGATGCAATTTACAAGGCACAATATTTCTAGATTCGCATTCAACAGCCCGCCTTCCTCCCACCACTCTCACCATCACCTCAAAAGGTCATGAGCTAAGAACCCAAACTGCACTTTTTAAATCTCAGGATATAGCCTGAATGGCAAAGCTGCTGAGTTTTAGAAAGAGACCAGTTAAGTCTAAACTTCTTTACCAACTACTCAGACAAAATCATATGCTCAGCAGCAACAACAAAATGTATACTGTGTAATATATTGAGCAGGAGGAACGATGGCTGTTTGCCAGATATGTGATCCATTAACCTCTTTAGCTCATTGTTGGCAACAATAGCATACAATCACATTCCTATGTCTGAAAGACAAGAGATTTTTTTTCCCATCTCAAAATCACAATGCCACATTATAGTCTAAAAGAAACCTCAGACAATAAAAGTAATAAGAAAGGAAGAAACACAATTTGTTTTTTTCCTGAACAAATGTTGCTGTTCTGTTTATTTCTTGAGGCGAAAAATGCTGATACGCAATAAAGTCCACAAGGGCATGACAACAGATTCTGAAGAATGCATCACTCCATCTATATTAGTCCTTTCAATTAGTAAACTTTATTTAAAAGGTTTATTTATATTATCTTTTTATTGGTATTCAGTCTGTCTTTTGTACCTGGAAGATGACTGAGAAGGAGGATGGGTGAGCTGAATCTGGTTTCTCATAATTCTGTCTTGCATCAGGTTTATGTCTGGCAGGAGAGGAACGCTCAGCAGCCTGTGCTTTCTCAGCAATCCTAACTTCTCCTCAGAGTATGCTTTGCTCTGTAGCTGATGGATTGTGAGATTGTCACAGTAATTTTGCCTACCTGCTACAGGGTCACACCTGGGGCTGGGAGCGGGTACGGTTCCAAAAACTGGGATACAATGCTCTGGAAAGAGCTATTTTACCTTGCCCAGGGTTTGAGGACTAGATGAAGGTGCATGAGATTTTTCGTGTTGCTTTTCAACTTCTACAGATGACCTGGATTTTCTGCTAGGTGAAGTGCAGAGGTGGGTGGGTGTGGTTTAACATTTTAAGAAACATTTTGGCATTGTGGTAAATTAAACAAATAAAACTAAACCCCAGACAAAATGGTACACCCAAAAAATCTATTTGAAATACAGTTTTGAAAACAGTCACAGATTTATTGGTTTGGCTTAGTCATCTATGCCAAATAAAGTACACAGCAATGAAAACATTTGGTTAATTAGAGTGTTCATTTGGTAAAGAATGTATTTTTTTCCTGAACATCAGCATACTCTCTTGTCTCATAAAGATGCAACCGCTAAATATTATTTAGGCCAGTCATGCTAGCTTATGTCTACAATCCCAGCACTTTGGGAGGAGAAGGTAAGAGGATCACTTGAGGCCAAGAGTTTGAGATCAGCCTGGGCAACATAATAAGACCCCTTCTCCACAAAAAGTTAGAAAAAAAAAAAATTCGCTGAGCAGGGTAGTGTATGCCTATAGTCCCACCTACTCTGGAGGCTGAGCCAGGAGGATCCCTTGAGCCCAGGAGTTTGAGGTTACAGTCATCCATGGTTGCACCACTGCACTGCAGCCTGAGCAATAGAGCAAGGCTCTGTCTCCAAAATATAAAAAAAATTATTTACTTTACAGCTTCAAACGGAGGCTGCCCTCTCAGTAAAATATAGAAATGTTTGTCCTTATGAAGAAATTGAGGGTAGCTGACTTACTTTCCAAAATCTATCTTTTTCTCTTTCAACCAGTCAATTGCTGACTTTCAATTGGTTTAGTAAATACATTCATTGAAAGGGCCCTTCAGTCCAGGCACAGTGGCTCACACTTGTAATCCCAGAACTTTCGGAGGCTGAGGCAGAAGGACTGCTTGAGTCCAGGAGTATGAGGCCAGCCTGGGCAGCATAGGGGGACCCCATCTCTACAAAAAATTAAAAAATATATATGGGCTTGGTGTCACATGCCTGTAGTCCCAGCTACTCAGGAGGGTGAGGCAAGAGGATTGCTTGAGCCCAGGAGGTCAAGGCTGCAGTGTGCTGTGATTGTGCCACACTCCAGCCTGGGCAACAGAACAGGACGCTATCTCAAAAACATTTTAAAAATAAAAGAAAAGGGTCTTTCTATGTGCCACCATTGGAAACCAGAAGATGAATAGAAGTCTCTGCTCTCATTGAGTGAGGTCAGTAATCACTAAGGCTATCAAGTTGAACAAGGTTCATTTTATTATAAGGAAATGAGCCCCTGTACCCACATCTCCTTGCTCCATCACTATATTTGGGTATCTCTTGTATGAAAATTGTGGGTTTTGTATCGTGCAATGCTGTGTTTAGTCAAGAGAGACCTGAAAGTGTAAGGCCACGACGGATTGTAAGGGAAGCATTTCTCATGGAAGGAATGGGTCCACAGACCGAATATCAAAAACTCTGAGAGTGGTAAAGAGGATTTAACCTCTCTCTAGGTTAGACAAGTGCTGGCCAATAGAAACACAATGTAAGACACAAATGTGAGCCACATATATAATCTTAAATATTCTAGGAACTTATTCAAAAACTAAGAAATAGTTGAAATTAATTTTAATGATAAATTTCATTCAATCTAATATATCAAAAATATTGTTTCAACATGTAATCAATATAGTTATCATTAATGAAATACTTTGCTTTTTTTTCATACTGTGGTAGAAAGAATGACTTCCCAAGGATATTTGCACCCTAGTCTCTGGAACCTGTACATGTGTTACATTACTTGGCAAAAGGGATTTTGCAGATGTAATTAAGGTTAAAGACCTTAAAATAGGGGGATTATCCTGGATTATCTGCATGGGCTCAATCTAATCACATGAGTTCTTTTTTTAAATAGTCAAATAATATTTTTGTATTATTTATTTTAACTATTTAAAATGAAAATTTACATGTTTTAATTAGTGAAAAGCCAATTCTTTAACCTAGGGAGGAGAAGCCTATAGTGACAAAGGCTGAAAATGCTTTGTAATCAGTATACTAAGGAGACATTCATGTATTTCAAAAATTGCTTAAATTC